AAAAAAAAAGTACATGTTTACTTAAAACAGATGGGCAATTAGGTTTTGAAACTTTGCTCGAAACATAGGAGAAATAAGTGTGCCGGCCAGGGCCCTCCGTGCTCGGCTCCCCCTGGCTCTCTGACCACATCTTGTGTCCTGCTCATGGCTCTGCTCTAGCCACATGGTCCTCTTTCTTTTCCCCAGGTAGCTCCTGCCTCAAGGTGTTTACAATAGATGTCTCTCTTTCTGGAAGTCTCCTCCCCTGAGCTACAGGTAACTTGCACTTTTCTTTCCTTATGTATTTGTGCTGGTATCAGCTTCTCACAGAGGAGTTCTGTCACCTATTCAATTCAATACTTCAGGCACCTCTTCCCCAAACCACACCAGATATTGGTCCATCTAACTTTCTCTTAATGGTACCTTGTGCGTTTCCCTGTCCGAATAAAAGTGACCACAAGTATGGAAGGAGAGAACAGCATGAGGAGAGAAGGAGGGAGGAGTCTGCATTGGCTCTCTGAGTGGAGGTCAAGACTGGTCTTACATTAGAGTATTGAGGCTTTTCTCAAACCCTTCTCTCATGTTCCCTTGCCATTTACATAGTCCAGTTGGGAACCACCTTCAGTTATGGTTCCAGTCACCAGGTGTGTCCAGTCCATGTCCAGCACTAAACACAAAGAGTCTGTGTCCTCCACGGCTGAGGGCTGAGTTGAGCCTGTGATCACAGAGCAGTAAGGGCCTGTGCTCTGTCTAGGGTTTTGGGCCATGCCCTAGACCCTGCAAGTCTAGGGAAGTAGAGTGTAGGGAAGTCACTAGGACAGGGGTGAGTTTGATGAAGGGATCAGATAATCACTTGTTCATCATCCTGTAGGAGTGTATTGTCCCTGCATCCCCCTGGTGTTATGGACAGAAGAGAACCATCTTCTTAAGTGGGAAACCTTGCCTCTGCATGGGATCCTGGCACAGAAAGACAGTGTGCTGATTCTCCGTTCAACACCATGTTTTTTTATGATCAGGACTGACTTTTAAACATTCATGTTGGATCAGAAAGAAACCCAGATCAGGGGGAAGAGGAATCAGTAATGGCTATTGCTCAGGTATGATGATACTCTCAGTGGATTCTTCTGTGTCTTTCTCCTTTCTCAGAACTGGGCATTGTATTTTCTGATCTTCTCTGACTCTGAGCATTCTGAGTGACATGTTTGCTGCCACTCCCCCATGCTTTCCTTCAGTTCTTTTTGGATAGAGACACAGTCTCACTTGATCACCCTCGGTAGCATACTATGGCATCACACAGCTCACAGCAACCTCCAACTCCTGGGCTTAGGCGATTCTTCTGCCTCAGCCTCCCAAGTAGCTGGGACTACAGGTGCCCGCCACAATGCCTGTCTATTTTTTTTGTTGGAGTTCAGCCGGGGCTGGGTGTAACCTGCCACTGTCAGTATATGGGGCCTACGCCCTACTCACTGAACAGGCACCGCCAACCTTCCTTCAATTCTTCTCATCTCTACTTTAATTCTAACTCTCTGAAACCCAGTGATGTGACCTTGTGAAGAGGCTCCATTGGGCACAGTCCTGGGAAGGACTTCACCCCCAGTCCTAGTGTAGAAAGGGTATGTAGCCCTGTGGCAGCAGTGCTATTGGGCAGGAGGGACTATTCAGGGGCCACATCTGGGTGCACTGCCAGCTCTTTAGTCATGGGGTAACATGCTACCTTCTGGAAAGGGCATCCTCAGGGTCATCTTTTCTGAATGATTTTCTACTATGTTTTGAGCTATAGGACTGAATCACTGTGTTTCTCATGTTCAATTGTTTATGATCAGGAATAGAATAGACAGATAGACATCAGTGATACAGAGTGTTTTATTCCATCATCTGTTTTAAAATATGGAGTCATGATAAATGTCTAGATGCAGTAGATTGGTTCAGTCAGTCTCAGTGTTTCTATCCCTTCTACAGAGGCTGTGCTGTTCCTGTAGGGACCTTTTTTTCCTCTCACAGACAGGATCTCTGTTACTCAGACAGAAGTTCAGTGGCCCCATCACAACTCGCTACACCTTCCAATTCCAGTGCTCAAGTCATCCTTCTATGCCAGCCAGCCACGGAGCTAAGAGTGCAGGTGCACATCCCTGCGCCTGGCTGCTTTTTACTGTGTATACAAAGGGAGTTCCCTGAATGTTGCCAAAGCTGGAATTGAACTTCTGACTTCAAATAATCCTCCCACAACAACCCCTCTGCGTTCTTGGGTTTACTGACATGAGGCTCATGCATGACTGGAGAAAATTCTTTAGTGATTATTTCATTGTATATTCTTTCAGGCAGCTTTCAGGTCATATGTTTATAGATAATATAAGTGGTAATATGTTGGTGGCATCTAGCATGCCAGTTTCTTTTCTTGCATTGAAAAATTATGTCTCTGGCGTGGTGAGGAGGCTCACGCCTGTAATTCTAGCACTCTGAGAGGCTGAGGCAGGTGAATTACTTGAGCTCACGAGTTTGAGACCAGCCGGAGCAAAAGTCTGACCCCCATCTCTACTAAAAATAGAAAAACTAAGGGAAGAGTATTGATTGAGACCAAGAGTTGGAGGTTGCTGTGAGCTATGATGCCATAGCACTCTACTTAGGGCAACAGGTTGAGACTTGGTCTAAAAACAATAGACTAACCACAAAAAATATGGCTCGGTGCCTGTGGCTCAAGCAGCTAAGGCCCCAGCCACATACACCTGATATGGCGGGTTCAAATCCAGCCCAAGCCCACCAAACAACAATGACGGCTACAACCAAATAATAGCCAGGCGTTGCGGCGGGTGCTCATAGTTGCACCTACTTGGGAGGTGGAGGCAAGAGAATCTCTTGAGCCCAGGAGTTGGAGGTTGCTGTGAGCTGTGGTGCCACGGCTCTCTACCCAGGGTGACAGCTTGAGGCTCTGTCTCAAAAACTAATAATAAATAAATAAGTAAATAAAATAAAAACTATGTCTCTGTTCCATCAACTTACATACTACATAAGCCTTAGTAGTATCCACTGATCCCCTGTTTAAGATCATATGTTTGCAGATCATGTATGTCATAATGTATTCATATATTTGGCAAGCTGCCTATTTTTTTGTTCTTCTCAAAATTATTTTACTGTTCCTTCAACTTACATAGCACATACAGTTAATACGCACAGATTCCCTGTGTTCATGGATTATATCCTCTGTGGATACAGGGGTCCTAGCCAGTTCTGTATCCATCATTGAAAACTAAGGCACAGTGTCATGCATTTCTGAGCGCTGAGATCCACAGAGAGGTGAGGGGGCTGTGCTCTGCCTGGGTTTTTATCTGTGCCCTGAGGGAAGTTCAGCCCACCCCAGATCTTCCTGCTAAAGTGTGGGAGTAGGTTTCATTGGAAGGGGAGCGGGTTCTGAAGAAGGGGTGAGAAACTCTTTCTATGGGACTTATTATCCTTGAAACCTCCTGGCTCAGTGCTCAGCAGAGGACTGTTTTTGCAAAGAGCACTGTGTTATTTCAGTGTATCTGTGTATACATGTGTGAGTGTGTACGAGTGATGGGTGTGAATGTGGGCATGGGTCATCAAAGGCACATCATCATTTTACGTAAATTTTATGTTTTTTGGACACTGGAATTTTCTCTTGAATGTTTTCCATGGACTTTCAGTTATTTTACATATTTATGGGGTTCTTTTTGTTAAGGAGGTCCAATTTTTTTTTTTTTTTTTTTTTGAGACAGAGGCTCACTATGTTACTTTTGGTAGAGTGCCATGGTGTCAAAGCTCACAGCAACCTCAAAGTCTTGGGCTTAACTCATTCCTTGCCTCATCCTCTGGAGTAGCTACAGGCACCTCCAGACTACAGGCACCCACCACAATGCCTGGCTAATTTTAGAGATGTGTTCTCCCTCTAGCTCAGGCTGGTCTGCAAACGGGAGCTCAGGCCATCCACCAGCCTCAGCCTCTGAAATTGCTAAAATTACAGGTATGAGCCACCGCACCTGGCCCTATATAGCCAAGATTCTAAGACTAGGATTCAAGGCATTCTCTTGGGAATCTGTCCTTGCTTCAGGCTCAGTACAAATACTGATCAAGCTTGGTAAAAATGAACTGGTTGGATGACCATGGGTAATTTTCTCTACTAAATTCAACAGGCCACAGGAGTTTTTCAGAGTTCTCACTCACTGGTTTCTGCCAATTCTCCATAGACTCCTCTTCCAACATCATAGTCTTGCTAATAGTTCTTTCATACCTGGCCCCCAATAGCCCACAACCCTACTGCCTGCCCTCATTAAAGCCTGCACCCCACTCTATGGGGACGATCTTGTCATAGAGACCAGTTCCACTCACGTACCACATGGAATTTTCCACATATGCTCTTGAATAGTATTCCACAAAGCAGAGTCCAGGTGCTATTCTTTTCATTTTATTCAAACCCGTAATACTTTTCTTCAACGTTCAGTTTTTCTTTTCATTAATTTTTTTGTGTATGTATATGAGACATACTCTACTCTTTTCCCCTGGGTAGGATGCCATGATATAGTCACACCTACCTCAAACCCCTGGGCTCAATTCTCCTCTTGCATCATCCTCCTGAGTCACTGGAACTACGCGGGTCTGCCACCATGCCCAGCTACTTATTCTATTTTTATTAGAGATGAGTCTCCCTCTTACTTAGGCTGGTCTCAAACCCATGAGCTCAAGGTATCACTGTGCCTTGGCCTCTCAGAGTGCTAGGATTACATACATGATGTACCATACCAGGCCCTGATACAGTTTTTCTTGTGTAGTGTTTCATAGCCTCCACTGTCACCCTGGAAGTGCTGGTCCTGGTACTGGTTCAACTCCATGTAGGAGTTTCTGCTCTTGACCTTCAGGAGGCCACTCAACACAGTGCAGGGTGGTTGAAAGTCACTGGGTAACCCCCTCCTCTATCATGTTAATGAATTGACATCAATAACACTGCTAACATATAAGCAGCATAGGTGTGTGTGTGTGTGTGTATGCATATCATGACCTTTTCTGTAGTTGCATCGTCTCATTGTTGAACTTGTTTCAATTTTTCTAAATGAGGTACTTCTCTGTCAGTTTACCTCTGAGGCTGGTCTGCTTCTTAAGGGTTTGACCCAATAGGTCCCATGCTAATACCCAGTCATCTGGGGTCAGGGTTTACTCTGCTCCTTTTAGTCCAATGACCCCAAGGAAGGTTTTTCCTACAGAGTCTGAGACACGGTTCTCTCCTCAGTAAGATGGAAAGAGATCTTTCTGTTGTTAGTATAGCAGGTAGTCCAACTATTCACAATCATCATTCTCATGTGGGAACTGTTCAATAGCTTCTGACATGGCTCTTGCTGTCATCGTACCACTTTTTAGATTCTGATCTTTCTAGAGCCACTGTGGACGTAGTGATCCTCAAGACAACAGTCATTTTCTAATTTGAGGGGACACTGAATTTTCTAGTTTGGTGTGTCAAACAGATCTAATACCTCTAGAGAACAGATAGAAGCCTGTTAATGTCATACTTGTTTATCTTGTAATGTCCACAACAGCAAGATCCACACTAATTTCGAGAATGTCACAACTGCTCAAGGAAAAGTAGAGTACACCACATAGCAAGCTGAAAAGTATATTAATGTGGATCTTTCAGTCACATCAATTTTTTCATTGCTCTTCTGGTTTTCTGTGAAGAGGGGATTTCTTTCCATCCCTCTTTGGTGAAACATGTTTCTCATTTCAGGGACAATTGACATTTAGAGATGTGGCCATAGAGTTCTCTCAGGAGGAGTGGCAGTGCCTGGACTCTGCTCAGAGAGCTTTGTACAGGGCCGTGATGTTGGAGAACTACAGGAACCTGGTCTCCCTGGGTGAGCATATCCTGGCTGTAAATTGTAGACTTTTTAGAAGAAAGTCTAGTTCCCTATTTTCTACCCAGGACCTTTGATTCAGTACTTCCTGACAGAAAGCTTGATATTTGCATAGCACAGTTTCATACACATTCAAAAGACAGCCATATGTGGATGAATTCATTTTTTCATAATCCATTTGTAATGTCCTCTGTCTTACCTCAGCACAGGGTTTGGATTTTGGCAAAGCTGCAGCACTTCTTGATTCCTTGTTTTTACAAGCAGGACTCTTGCTTCCTGACCTGACTGTTCTCTC